GGGATGAAAAAACAAGATGGCGACTTGACCGTAAGTGTGGCGAAACCGACCTCGCCACTGGGTATTGGAGAAGACTGGTTGCCAGCCTCCTGCCATGTGACTATGGCCCCTGGGATGTATTGCCCTTTAAAAACTGATTTGGGCTTATGGACTTTTATTGTACAGTGCTGGCCCTTTTAAAAACAGTGTATGGACACATGGAAACTTTTTGCACCCTTTTTCTTCTCCTTTGAATCCCTGGGAAGGTGAGGCTCTTCCCCTCCCCCAGCTCCATTGTTCTCCAGCAGGGAGTTGTCCCAGGGACACTGCCAGACCAGTGGGAACTGGTTCGGGAAGGAAAAGCCATGCTTGCAATTGATAATAAAGGGACCTCAACCTAACTCTTTAACCCCTGGACGGATTCATGTGATTTTTACATATGTTGCTCCCCAAGTTATGCTGATCACAGAAATATAAGTTTTATTCGTATGTGATGTAAAATCAGGGATTTATAAAAATGTATAAAAAGTATGATTTTTCAGCTTGGAGATAATTGAGTAGATACAGTAAGAAACTCAATTATCTCCCAAGCAGAGTGGAGGAGAAGTATGGGAGTGCTTGTACTATATACTACGTGTTTATTGGTTGTTCTGCAAACCCCTGTGGGCGGTCCTGTATGTGTTAAACCTGCATAAAAGAAGGCCCTTTTGTGCCAAGTAAACAGATTCTGCTTAACCCTCAAAACGAAGTGTCGTCTCGTTATTGGGGGAATTGGATTGTATGCTGACTGCCAGGAGTGTAACCCTTTCGTATGGTTTTCCTGTTCAGATATTTCCAGTGTTCATGTGTTTCCAGTTCGGGAAATCGGTGCTTACAGTAGCTGTCGGTGTAGCTGAGAAAGGGGAATATCGCCTAAACGGTTTTTAACCTCTGGTGAGCAAAACGGTCCATTACAATTAGTGGCAAGCGACGGGATCATTCCCACAGCCCAGAAGGACAGCTACAAGGTAACACCATCCCCTGGACTTACAAATGGAGGGCAGCAGGGCAAGCATGGCACCCAGCTACACTCAGGAGCAGTATGACAGAGAGTTTACCATGCGGATGGCTTTCTTTGGTCCCAACCCCCCGGAGAGATGCGTGCAGCTTGTGAGGAGACGTGTAGAAGAGTACCTGCAGGTCAGAGCAGGGCGGGCACGTAAGTTGGCAGGTTGGGAGAGACCCCAGTGGCAGTGTGTGTCCCAGGGAGCTGAAGGTGTCGTCCTTCCTCCCCAGCGGCAGTGTGTGTCCCAGGGAGCTGAAGGTGCCGTCCTTCCTCCCCAGCGGCAGTGTGTATTACAGGGAGCGGAAGGTGCCGTCCTTCCTCCCAAGCGGCAGTGTGTATTACAGGGAGCGGAAGGTGCCGTCCTTCCTCCCCAACGGCAGTGTGTGTCACAGGGAGCTGATGAAGGTGCCGTCCTTCCTCCCCAGCGGCAGTGTGTGTCACAGGGAGCTGATGAAGGTGCCGTCCTTCCTCCCCAGCGGCAGTGTGTGTACCAAGGAGCTGAAGGTGCCGTCCTTCCTCCCCAGAGGCAATGTGTGTCCCAGGGAGCTGAAGGTGTCGTCCTTCCTCCCCAGCGGCAGTGTGAGTCCCAGGGAGCTGAAGGTGCTGTCCTTCCTCCCCAGCGGCAGTGTGTGTCCCAGGGAGCTGAAGGTGTCGTCCTTCCTCCCCAGCGGCAGTGTGTGTCCCAGGGAGCTGAAGGTGCCATCCTTCCTCCCCAGCAGCAGTGTGTGTCACAGGGAGCTGATGAAGGTGCTGTCCTTCCTCCTCAGCGGCAGTGTGAGTTTCAGGGAGCCGAAGGTGCCGTCCGTCCTCCCCTGTGACAGTCGGTCTCGCTTCTCAGCAGCGCGACAGTATATTGAAAGGGGAGACAGTCAGTCCCCCTCTCCACCAGCAGAGAGAGAGAGTCAGGGAGAGGAGCTCGTTACACCCTCTCCCCAGTGGCAGCGTAGCCCACCAAGGGGAGACACTAACCCCCCCATCAGCGCAGATGGGACCGTGGTCACTGCGCCCAAGCTACAGGGAGTACGGACAGTCGGTCCTGCTCCCCAGTGGCAGAAAATTCTACCGGGAGGGGAGAGTCTCGTTCCCCCTCCCCAGCGGCAGCCTAGCCCACCAAGGGGAGATGATAAGCCCCACACTGGTGCAGATGGGACCATGGTCTCTGTGCCCAAGCCATAGGGGATGGGGACGGTCGGTCCTGTCCCCCAGCGGCAGGGCTGTATATCCAAAGGGGAGACAGCCTGTCTGCCCCTCCAGCAGCAACACCAGGTCCAGCGGGAAAACCCTTCTCCTCAGCTGGGCTCCAACCAGGCTAATCCCTTGGTAGCGCTGGCACCAGGGCAGAGTACCGCTGGTCTCTGCCCACTCAGCAACCCACCGATGCAGAAGGCTAGTACCCCGCAGAGCCGTGGTGGAGCCCCTGGACATGGACAAGCTACCCAGTACCCCAGGTGCAGTAACCAATTCTTGTGGGTGGGCCACTCTGTTGATTATGTTTTATGGGTGGGTTGCTGGACTAACCAAGGCACTGACCGACAGGAGGTCAGATACCTTGTTAGTCTTTTTGGGAAAGGGGAGAAATGTGGCGAAACCGACCTCGCCACTGGGCATTGGAGAAGACTGATTGCCAGCCTCCTGCCATGTGACTATGGCCCCTGGGATGTATTGCCCTTTAAAAACTGATTTGGGCTTATGGACTTTTATTGTACAGTGCTGGCCCTTTTAAAAACAGTGTATGGACACATGGAAACTTTTTGGACCCTTTTTCTTCTCCTTTGAATCCCTGGGAAGGTGAGGCTCTTCCCCTCCCCCAGCTCCATTGTTCTCCAGCAGGGAGTTGTCCCAGGGACACTGCCAGACCAGTGGGAACTGGTTCGGGAAGGAAAAGCCATGCTTGCAATTGATAATAAAGGGACCTCAACCTAACTCTTTAACCCCTGGACGGATTCATGTGATTTTTACATATGTTGCTCCCCAAGTTATGCTGATCACAGAAATATAAGTTTTATTCGTATGTGATGTAAAATCAGGGATTTATAAAAATGTATAAAAAGTATGATTTTTCAGCTTGGAGATAATTGAGTAGATACAGTAAGAAACTCAATTATCTCCCAAGCAGAGTGGAGGAGAAGTATGGGAGTGCTTGTACTATATACTACGTGTTTATTGGTTGTTCTGCAAACCCCTGTGGGCGGTCCTGTATGTGTTAAACCTGCATAAAAGAAGGCCCTTTGGTGCCAAGTAAACAGATTCTGCTTAACCCTCAAAACGAAGTGTCGTCTCGTTATTGGGGGAATTGGATTGTATGCTGACTGCCAGGAGTGTAACCCTTTCGTATGGTTTTCCTGTTCAGATATTTCCAGTGTTCATGTGTTTCCAGTTCGGGAAATCGGTGCTTACAGTAGCTGTCGGTGTAGCTGAGAAAGGGGAATATCGCCTAAACGGTTTTTAACCTCTGGTGAGCAAAACGGTCCGTTACAGGAAGTAATCCTCTCAACTCGCCAGACCAACAACAGTAAAGTGGTAGAGGATTGGCAGCCATTTTAAAGGGGATTCAAGCCCCTCCCACAGGCCTTAATATATAAAATCTATATTTATGAATTAGAATGACTCAATTTGGGGTAGCAAGATGTAGCCATATTTTAAATGTTATAAAGGGATATTTTTGTATAGAACATTTTTTATTGAGTTTAGAATAGTAGTAACAGATGCATACAGTTGTACAGTTGCAGAATATCAGTCATATTTTCACTTTGTATATACCTTGAGGAAGTGTTCCACACTTCATCTAACATTTGGGATCCCCATCAGCTTGTGGAGAGGCAAATTTCATCATCTTATTATCATAGCCTTTTAACGTAATAACCTGCAGCTGCACCAATGCTATTGACAACTAGCCTAGCCTTGCAACTAGGTATCACCATAGTATAGAGGGGGGGAATGGAGGGGAGAGGTGAGGTAGGGGGGAGGTCGGTTTGGAACATCCGGAAGTGTTTCCAAATATCAACTAGTGGTGTGACTACCTTCATGTGTGGCATTTTGTCGCCATGTTTCCCATGTTTGCCACGCTGTTTGCCAGACTTTGCTTGTCGACCTCAATCGCCTAGCTTCTATCTCATATACTTTGGTAGTGTCTATCATATCTAGGCATCGGTGAATGCTAGGTGAGTGTGTGCTCAGCCAGGTCTTGCTTATAGCCATTAACTCTGCGATAATAATGTGGTATGTTAGGTACGTGTCAGCCTTTGAGAGCTTGTGTGGCAGGGCTAGCAGTAAATACGTTTCTGGAGAGTGTGGCAGGGTGTTGCCAGTGGATTTGGTTATAATATTCGAAACGCTTTCCCAAAAGGGCTTAATTTCTGGGCAGGTCCACCAAATATGGAGTATTGACCCTGGCTCCTGCAAACATCTCCAGCATGACCCTGACTTATTTGGATCCATTTTGTTCAGCCTGGTGGGTACCCTGTACCAGCGATATAGCACTTTCCTGCTAGTCTCAATATGGGATGTATTTAACGTGAGGTTTTTGTGTGCTGTCAGTATTTTTGACCATACGTCATTGGGTATAGTCAGGTTTAGATCTTTTTCCCATGCCTTCATGAAACTTAGTTTCTGTGGTTGATCTTGTTTTTTGGTCATTTTATATAGGAAGGACAACATTTTCTGTGGCGGTTTTGGGGCCATACATACTCTTTCTATTTCTGTCAATGTCTGTATTTGCGTTTGTGCAGCGTCTAGGCCTATATTTTTCCTCGCCCATGACTGTAATTGTAAGTATGAGAAGTAAGCTTTGGGAGGGAGGTTATACTGTTTGGTTAGAGAACTAAAGTCCAGTAGGCGACCATCCCTCATTAAGTGTGATAGGCGTGTGGCACCATGTTTACACCATAGGCCATGGTCAAACCCCGGAATGAGGAGTTGGAACACTGGAATTTGTAGTGCTGGGGATATATATGAGGCGGGATAGTGTGTCTTGGTGTATTTGTCCCATAGAAGGAATGTTGCCCCCGTAGTTGGGCATATATCCGGGTATATTGGTCTTAGATGCCTAGGTATCCAAGCTAGGGTGGACATCGAGATTCCGCCTGTGTTTGCGGTTTCCACATGACTCCACTTTGGTGGTGTTGTGTGGTGGAAGGTGGATAAGAGAGTGCTCATCATGGCCGCCGTTTAATAGTTTGCGATATCAGGGGCCCCCATTCCTCCCCCCTTCCAGGGCCTATACACGGTGTCGGCCGCCGTTCTAGGTCGTTTCCCATCCCATATGAATTGATTTAGGGAGTGTTGTGCATCTTTAAAGAACTGGCGTGGTAGCTGTATTTGGAGTGTTCTGAATAGGTACTGTAGTCTTGGTAGTACCATCATTTTTACTGCCGCTATTCTGCCTGGCCATGAGATGTATTTCCCTTTCCAGCTGTGTAGTTGTTGTTTAATTGCGCTAAGGAGTTTTACATAATTCGCTTTATACAGCTTTTGCGTCTTGGGTGTGAGATCTATACCTAGGAAGGTTAAATGGTCGGTTCGCCAATCGTATGTGTGTATGCTTTGTAGGTGGGTAAGTTGTGCTTTAGGAATGTTGAGGCCCATTGCTTGTGTTTTAGTAATATTGAGCTTATAGTATGAGCAATTGCTAAAGTTTGTCAATATGGTTCGAAGCTGCGGCAGAGAGATGTCAGGTTTAGACAATGTGAGCATTACATCATCCGCAAACAGGGTAATCTTGTGTGTTTCCCCCCCTATTTGTATTCCATGGACATCGTGTGACTCCCTAATGTGTTGGGCCAGGGGTTCTAATGCTAGTATATATAGTAAGGGTGAGAGTGGGCAGCCCTGTCTGGACCCATTTGAGATGTGGAAAGGTTTGGAGGTAAACCCGCCGTTGGCTATTTTAGCTGTCGGATTGTCATATAGTGCCGAGACTAGCGTGACGAAACACTCGGGAAATGCGAACCTCCGCAGCACAGCCTCCAGGTATCCCCAGTGCAGCCTGTCAAACGCCTTCTCAGCGTCCAGTGACAGTGCCACACTAGGGACCCCGGTTTTCTGGATCCTGTGTAGAATGTTGATCAGTTTCCTGGTCCCATCTGAGCCTTGTCTGCCCCGGACGAACCCCACTTGGTCGTCTCGAATCAGTGTTGGTAATATGTTTCCCAGCCTATTTGCGTAGATTTTCGCTAGTATTTTTAAATCAGTGTTTAGTAGCGATATAGGGCGCAGGTTCTGGCATTTAGTTGGAGGTTTCCCTGGTTTTGGCATTCCACTTGGTATAGTGCCTGTCGTGAGAATATTATTATATAGTTTTTCTAATTTGGGGGTGAGAATGTGAGAAAAGATTTTGTAGTATAAGTTCGTGAACCCATCTGGGCCTGGTGACTTCCCTTTTGGGAGGGCTTTGATAGTGTGTGCGATTTCATTTTGGTTAATGGGATCTTCTAATAGAGTCTGATCTGCCTGCGATAGTTTTGGTAGCTGCACTTCCGTTAGGAAAGCGGCTATCTCCTTTGGGAGTGGCTGGTGTGTCTCCTGATCCCTTTTCAAGTTATATAGTGTATCATAGTAGTCCGCCAGCGCGTTGTTTATATCAAGTGGGCTATACATTTTATTGCCCATGGTGTTCAATTGAAATGGGATTTTTGCGTTTTGCCTTTTCTGTTGCAGAAGTGCTGCCATTGCCTTCCCTTGTTTCCCTGGGTGTATGTTTTGAGTTTCATCCTATGTGATATGGTAGCCGTGGTGCGCAAGTGTATGTCATTCAACTTCCCATGAAGCTGGGCTATGTATGTCGACGTTTCGTCCCTAAGTGATCTCAAAAGGTCTATATACTCTTTCTTTGCTTGCCTGTGCAGGTGAGATGCTTGGCTAATCAGGAGGCCCCGTATGACTGCCTTATGTGTTTGCCACGTTGTGGCTAGTGAGACATCGGGTGTTTCGTTTAAGGCAAAGAACGCAAGTATCTCTTCGTTAAGTTTGGTTTTAAAAACTGGGTCATGTAGGAGAGTGTCGTTTAGGCGCCAAAGTGTCGCCCCTCTGGTCTGGAATTTGTCCCTTAGGGTAAGTTGTACTGGGGCATGATCTGACCAGATTATGTTTCCTATCTCACTATGCGTCGCCATTGGTAACATGTCGCCCGAAATTAGTATGAAGTCAATTCTGGTGTATGTTTGGGTGCTGTGTCCTCCAAATGTCATATAGCCCGTGTTCGGAGATGAGCCTCGTGAGTGCTATAGCCTGTTTACCCAGTGTTTTGCACCTAGGTGAGGTTTCCGACCGTGTAGTGTCTAGTCGGGGTTGCATGATGTGATTTAGGTCCCCGCATAAGATTGTGGATGATTGGTGCGTGTTGGGGAGTTTATTCAGCACTTTCTGTAGGAAATTCCTTTGGTTATTATTTGGTCCATACAGTCCCACTAATGTGTATAGGGTGTCGTTGATTTTACCGTGTAGTATAAGATACCTGCCTTGTGTGTCTTTTTTGAGGCTTAGAAGTTCGAATGCTATTGAGGTGTGTAGGAAAAGGGAGACGGCTCTCGATTTAGAGGAGTACGTCGAATGGTATTGTGTGGGGTATTCTCTGTCTGCGAATCTGGGTACTCTGTTGTGTACAAAGTGAGTTTCCTGAACGCATAGGATATCTGCTTTAGCACGCTTCGCGTCCTCAATGAGGAGTCTCCTTTTGTGTGGGGTGTTTAGTCCACGTGCATTAATAGTTTGTATTCTCATACTGTATGAGGGTTATATAGTTTAGCTGCCTAGGTCTCGCTTGCCCTTGTCTAATGTGGTCCCCTCGTTGTGAAGGGGGGTATTGTGCGACTGTTTTGCCTGTTGGCTCTAGTGCAATGATGGCGTAGCATTGCATACTATGCGCAAATAAGTAGTGGTATGGGTTTGGAGATGCTTTAGTTCCATTTGTAATTTGTGGCCGGCCGTGGGGGTGTGGGATTAGGGAAGGATAACTGGGGGAAGGTATAAAAACTATGTACAGAATATTCCTTCCAAGGAATTTATGTGGATTAACCACATCTGGGGGATAGGAAAGATAAAATCCTTCCATTAACGTGGCTGTTTGGGCACCCTTATGACTTGTGTCTGTTTGCTGCTTCTGGTATGTGATTGGGCCACTCAAGGCCTTTGGATATGATCCTGGCGTGGGCGCGACAGGCTGAGAGCGGCCGGGGCCAGACGTCCTCGTCCGAGTTAAAGAGTGTATTTTGGCGCGCTCTCGGTTTCGGGTGGTCGGGCCATATGTATTGAGTGGTCTGCTGTGGTTACTATCAGTGACGTAAAGGGACCCTATGAACATGTGTATTAGCAGTAATCTATAACACATACATTCTGAAATAAAAGCATAACCTGCAATAACTATATTACCCTGTTAGCCATCCGGCCGTCCCCCGTCCCCCCGCCCCAGCATCCAGGAAACATTCCCTAGGAATTGCCACTGTTCCCACACGGCTTCAGCGTCCCCATTGTCCCATTAGACCTGTTAGTAGGAGCGTGTAACACTTTTTTAGTTCCGCAGATTGTCTCAGCAGTTCCAAAGTCTCACGGTTTACCTTAGGCCTCAGGTCGTGGTGACATGCTTCACATCTCCCAATTAAACCGGCTTACCGCATCCGAGTTGGAGGCCGCCCAGGTCGCTGCTCACACTGGCCTGGGGGGAAGTGAGGGGGCGAGATGGGGGGGAGGGGGAGAAGGTCCGCCACCCCGGGGTATTAGTCCAGACCGGGGACCCCCGCAGGTCCACTGCTCTGCGCACGCTTCGTCACAGGGTCAGCGGGGGGCCCCGATCCAGAGACCGCCATCCATCGAGATCCCAAGTTACCGGCTCTTGTCCAGCTTGTGTTGTACGTCCCAGGTACTGCGTATTGAAGGGAGGCACTTCAGGGTATGTATCCGTGGACGGTATGTGGGTGTTGTATATCCAAAGGGGCTTTCGCCTGCATACCAGGATTCCATCTGGTTTCAGTGTTTCCCGTGGGTTTTTTCCCAGTCCGGTTTGGGTGTGCTTGCCTGTCTTGTGTGTGGGACGGTCGGCTCCACCGGCAAGTTCCAGGCTTGGAGTTTCTTTAGGCCGTCTTCAGGGGAGTGTATCACCACTGTATCTCCGTTTTGCGTGACGATCAGTTTTGTGGGGAATCCCCACCTGTACCGTATGCCGTGGGACCTCAACGTGCTGGTGACTTGATGGAAGTCTTTCCTTTTCCGTAGTGTCGCGGCCGATAGGTCCGCGTAGATTTTGACCGTTGGGTAGTCGGCCGGCGGCTTAGCTCTCAGTCTGCTGTTCCGGACGATGTGTTCCTTTATATGGAAATAATGTGCCCGCAATAGTATATCTCGCGGTACCGTTTGTGGGAGATGACGGGGTTTCGGAATGCGGTGGGCCCGATCTACCAACAGCATATCTGTGGGTATCTCCGGTGCATGGGCGTGCAGGAGGTTCCTGACATAAGCTGGTAGGTCATCGTTAGTGACATCCTCAGGGACTCCTCGCAAGCGTAGATTATTCCGGCGGGACAGGTCCTCCATATCCGTCATCTTTTCTTCCATAATGGTAATCTTTGCTGCTATGCGCTCAACGTTCGTGGCCAGTTCGTTGTGCGCCGTGGCGAATTCGTCACACTTATCCTCCATATGCGTCGTCCGTTTCCCCAGCTCCTGGATGTCTTTCCGTAAGGAGTCTGTTGTGTGTTGCCATCTGGTGATTAGTTTAGCCGACAGGACCTCCAGGGCCGCTGTGAGGTCAGCTTTAGTGATCTGTGTCGTGTCGGATTTTGCCTCCGAGTCGGTATCGTGCGTGCCGTCATCCGATTCAGGATCCTCGGCTGCTTTTGAGGCCTGCGTAGCCAGGGCCGCAGAAGTTTGTTTCTGGCTAAAAAAATTGAGCTTATCCGGCTTCGCCGAGCTCCTCTTGCTTTTGTGGTGGGACATTGTCGGTCCGTGCTGTTGGATGCAGCTTTAGGCGGTAGGATTATGCTGGAT